GAAAAATTGGATATCACATTGGAGGGAGGGAGTATGGAAGAAGTGAGTATTTGGAATTAGACTTATCAGCAGATGGGTTTATGAAGGACAAGGTAAACCATAGAACTGATGAAAGAAAATGGGTGAGTGGTACATTAAGGTATCTGTGGAAACAACGAATGTTTTCCACAGAGGCAAAGACTGAAATTTATGAGAGTATAATGGTACCAACTCTTATATTGGTTGTGAAGCATGGGTTGCAAATGGTGCAGCATGGAGGAGGCTGGAGGCAGTGGAGATGTTGTGTCTAAGGGCAATGTGTGGTGTAAATATTATGCAGATAATTTATTTTATTTTTTTTTTATTGCACACTGGCCGATTCCCACCAAGGCAGGGTGGCCCGAAAAAGAAAAACTTTCACCATCATTCACTCCATCACTGTCTTGCCAGAAGGGTGCTTTACACTACAGTTTCTAAACTGCAACATTAACACCCCTCCTTCAGAGTGCAGGCACTGTACTTCCCATCTCCAGGACTCAAGTCCGGCCTACCGGTTTCCCTGAATCCCTTCATAAATGTTACTTTGCTCACACTCCAACAGCATGTCAAGTATTAAAAACCATTTGTCTCCATTCACTCCTATCAAACACGCTCACGCATGCCTGCTGGAGTCCAAGCCCCCTTTCACACAAAACCTTTTTTACCCCCTCCCTCCAACCTCTCCTAGGCCGACCCCTACCCCGCCTTCCTTCCACTACAGACTGATAAACTCTTGAAGTCATTCTGTTTTGCTCCATTTTCTCTACATGTCCGAACCACCTCAAAGGGCCCTTCCTCAGCCCTCTGGACAACAGTTTTAGCAATCCTGCACCTCCTCCTAACTTCCAAACTACGAATTCTCTGCATTATGTTCACACCACACATTGCCCTCAGACATGACTCTCCACTGCCCTCCAGCCTTCTCCTCGCTGCAACTTCATCCCCCGATGCTTCACACCCCAAAAAGAGCGTTGGTAAAAAATATACTCTCTACATTTCCCTCTTTGCCTCCAAGGGGCAAGTTCTTTGTTTTCACAGACTCCTAAGTGCACCACTCACCCTTTTCCCCTCATCAATTCTGTGATTCACCTCATCTTTCATAGACCCATCCGCTGACATGTCCACTCCCAAATATCTGAATATATTCACCTCCTCCATACTCTCTCCCTCCAATCTGATATCCAATCTTTCATCACCTAATCTTTTTGTTATCCTCATAACCTTACTCTTTCCTGTATTCACCTTTAATTTTCTTCTTTTACATACCCTACCAAATTCATCCACCAACCTCTGCAACTTCTCTTCAGAATCTCCCAAGAGCAGTGTCATCAGCAAAGAGCAACTGTGACAACTCCCACTTTGTGTGATTCTTTGTCTTTTAACTCCACGCCTCTTGCCAAAACCCTCGCATTTACTTCTCTTACAACCCCATCTATAAATATATTAAATAGCCACGGTGACATCACACATCCTTGTCTAATGCCTACTTTTACTTGGAAATAATCTCCCTCCCTCCTACATACTCTAACTTGAGCCTCACTATCCTCGTAAAAACTCTTCACTGCTTTCAGTAACCTACCTCCTATACCATACACCTGCAACATCTGCCACATTGCTCCCTGTCCACCCTGTCATATGCCTTTTCCAAATCCATAAATGCCACAAAAACCTCTTTAGCCTTATCTAAATACTGTTCACTTATATGTTTCACTGTAAACACCTGGTCCACACACCCCCTACCTTTCCTAAAGCCTCCTTGTTCATCTGCTATCCTATTCTGCATTTTACTTTTAATTCTTTAAATAACTCTACCATACACTTTACCAGGTGTACTCAACAGACTTTTTTTTTTTTTTTTTTTTTTTCTTCTTCTTCTTCTTCTTCTTCTTCTTCTTCTTCTTCTTCTTCTTCTTCTTCTTCTTCTTCTTTTTTTTCTTCTTTTTTTTTTTTTCCTTCAAAAAAAAGTCGGCCGTTCCCACCGGGCAGGGTGGCCAAAAAAAAGAAAAAAAAACCCCAAAAAAAAAAATACTTTCATCTCATTCAACATTATCCCCCGTAATTTTTGCACCCTTTTTGTCCCCTTTCCCTTTTTTCAAAAGAATATGCATCCCCTCTCCAATCCCTGGGTTTCCTTTACCCTCTTCCATACTTTTTTAAAAATAAACAGCACCAACCACCCAAAACTATATCCCACCCTTTTAACATTTCTATTTTTATCTCATCAATCCCCTGCCTTACCTCCTTTCATTTTCCCTACTCACTCAAAAATTTCCCCCCACACTCACAGCTGACCTTTTCCTCACCCCCTAAAAGATGTTATTCCTCCTTACCCTATACATGAAATCACAGCTTCCCTTTTTTCATCATTTAACTTTTAAAAAATTTCCCCCTTTTTCCCAAATCCTAAAACTCTCCATTTGTAACCTCCTCCCCTTTTTTTTAACTGACACATCCTTTTGTTCTCAAGGCTTCCCAACTTGTTAACCTGCTAAAAACTTTTTCTTTTTTTTAAACAAAATTTGTTGAAACATTCACCCACTTCTCATTTGCTCTCTTTTACTTGTTTCAACTCTCTTACCTTCTCTTTTTCCCCATATACCCTTCCCCTTTTGCATCACTTTACTTTGTAAAAATTCTCATATGCAAAATTTTTCCCCCTATACTCTTTTTTCATATATTCCCCAATCGCCCCTTTTCCCCTCCCGCACCCACTTTCCTGAACCACAAATTCTGTGAACACTTTTAACATACTTTTTTAAAACCCTACCCCTACCTCTTCGACCCTGCCTATGCTCTTGTTACCCCATCTACCCCCAATTGGTTTTATTTTACCCTATCTGCCTCCTTTTTTAGTTTTGAACTTCACCTCTTTTTTTCCCCTGATGCTTCTATTCCCTTGTATCCCCATCTACCTTTTACTCTGTGTAGCTACAACAAAAAGTGATCGTATATCTGGGGCCCGTCATAAACATGTACACCCTGAATCTACTAAACAGTCTTTTATTATATACATAATCCAAAAAAACTACTGTCTTTTTCGCCTACATATATTTTTTATACTTATTTACCCTCTTTTTCTTAAAAAAGGATTCCTATAACTAACCCCTTTCAACAAAGTTCAATCAAGGGTTCTATTATGTTTACACCTGGACCCCAAATTTACCTATTACACCCTCTCTAAAGTTTCTCCTCTTTAGCTTCAGGTCCTCTACCAAAATTTTATCCTCACTTGGGTTAAAGGCCTAACATTCACTTAACATCCCCAAAAAACTCTCTCTTCCTCTACTTTCCTCTCTTCTCCAGTGAAAACCCATTTTTTATGACCCCTTTTCGCATCCAACTTTACTTTAACCCCCAATAATCCTTGAATTTAACATTCATGTTCTCTTTTTTCCCCCCAAAAGTCCTTCAACTTTTGCCCCCCCCTTCCTTAGCTCTAAACTTTTCAGATCTCCGTTTTTTCCCATTTTTTTCCCCCCCACCGAAATCCTACCCCTTCGCTTTGTTTCGCTTAGGGCCAGGAACCCCAATTTCTTTTCGTTAAAACATCAGCAATCATCTGTTTCTTGTTCCGCACTACATCCACGCACTTTCAAGCATCCCGTTTTTTAAAAGTTTTTTTTTTTTTTTTTAGAAAATGTTTCAGGGAGGGGGTTACTACCCATTGCTCCCGGCATTTTAGTCGCCTCATACGAAGCATGGCTTACGGGGGAAAAAGATTCTTTTCCATTCCCCATTTACAATAAAAGAAATAAAAAAGAACAAGACTATTTAGAAAAAGGAAAAAAACCTAGGTTGTAAGTATTAGCATGTCCGTGCTGTGAGTGTGCCCAAAAGGGAAAGTAGGATGCAAGAACCCCTGTTATCTAGCGTTTTATGAGACAGAAAGAGGACCAGCAATCCTCCATCATGTAAAACAGTTACAGGTTTCTTTTTTTACGTCATTGGCAGGCGGTATTTCCCTGGGCGGTTGCGTCTACCAAACCCACTACCTTAATTTGTAGAGTAGAATTAAGATTAGGTAGGAGTTACTAAAGTATTATTCAGGGTTAAAGGGGGGTGTGGGGGTTTTTTTGATTATTTAAGAGGTGGAACAAAATAGGATGATTGGGGGGGTTTTTAAAATCTTTTAGATGATGGGGAGGGGTAAAAGGGTTTTGTGCAAGGGCTTGGACAAAGAGCAGGCAGTGGCATGTTAGAAGGAGTGAATGGAATGAATGGTTTTTTTGGGCCTGACGAGCTGTTGGAGTTTGAGCGAGTAAACAGTATTTTGTGAAGGGATTAGGGAAACCCGGGTTTTGGACTTTAGGCCTGGGATGGGAAGTTCAATTTCCGCGCTTTTAAAAAAGGGGTTTAGGGGTTTCATCTAAACGTCATATCTGAGTGCCCCTGCAAAGAAGTGTTATGTGTGAATGGTGGGGAAAGTGTTTTTTTTTTTTGGGGTTTCCTGCCTCAAAGGGAATGGCCCCGTGTTTCAAACAAAAAAAAAAGAAAACGTTAGACATCCCCTTTTAATGTTCACTTGTAAGAAAAACTGATTATTTGCATCAAAGGAAAAAAAACACTTTCCCCACTTGAACTGTTCAATTTATTTTGTCTTTAGTGTATCAATATCAGTGTTCGAGAGATGCTTTGATGACTGAGGGTATGCCGTCAAAAATTTTTTTTCCCGAGTGCCAAGGGGAGAGTTCAAGAGTTGCGTGCTGAATTTGTAATCAAACTAATGTATTGTTCCTGGTGCAGTATAAAAATTTAGTTTACAGGGAATAAAATATTGTTTAAAAAAAAAGAAATCCATAGCCATATAGCGTCAGGACCCATAACTGAATATAATGTAATCTCATATGAGCCATAATAGTCATTGGATAAAAGGTATTTTTTTTATTTTTGTGATAACATGCTGTTTGAAAATTAGTTGAAATGTTTTTTATTTTTTCAACCTGTGTTAATTCACAACTTACTATTTGTTTTCATTTTACCAGCCCTCAAGAGAACTTGCAGAACAGACCTTAAAACAAGTTCAGCTATTCCGTAAGTTTCTGGATAATCCAGTGGTTCGTGACCTTCTTGTTGTTGGTGGCATACCTGTGAAGGATCAGATAGCAGCACTCAAAGAGGAATAGTATTTTTTTGTGGCCCCTGGGCGCTTGGGGATCTTATTAATACTGGGGCAGCGCTCTGCAGTCCTGCAAATTCTTTGTATTAGATGAGGCTGATGGACTCCTTAAACAGGTAATATTGTGCTTAGTGTTAATATTATGTTTTACTATTATTATTGCATTTCCCTATGGGAAATGTACTAGGCACTAAGAAGAAACTGATGAATTTGCCGCAAGTGAAAAAAGCGCTTTCTATACAAAAAAGTTCCCGTTTTTAAAATAAGCCCAAATTTGAAAAATTGTTTGATTGGTTACTGAGATTATGTTGCCCAAAGTTTGTAGGGTTTTTTTCTCAGAAATAACATTTGGGGAGCTTCATCGTTATTTTTATACAGCTTTCCTCACTTTAAAAAACCCTTCCCGGGTCGCGGCCCTCTCAGGACTTGTTCTCAGGGCCCCCCAAATTTCAAAAAAAAAAAAAAAAAAAAAATTTTTAGAAAAAAAAAAGAATCTTTTCCCGATCATAATGAAACCCAAAAAACGAAATTTGATGGAAAATTGGGAATTTTGGGTCTTGCGAAGTTGCAGCTCGCGAGTTTAAAAGCATCGGGGGATTTTGCCCACTTGACCCTATTTTTTAGCCAATTCCAGTGTACTAGTCGACAAAAATAATAATATTTTCGCCTAAATTTTTTCCCTTTTTTCTATTTAATGATAAAGAAACCACCCATTTACCAATTTCAACTATCCAATAAAGTGGTCAGAATTTAGCAATTTTGCCAATTTCACACAAATTTCAAAAGATGCCAATTTTCAAATAGGGTCCAGAATAAACAAGACAGACATTCCTGGCACTAAAATAACATTTTTTTCTGTTCATTAGTCACATCCCCAGGCCCCTCTTACATTTCTTTTGCTTTCCACTTTGAATTTTTATTCTCACAAAAAATAAAAGATTTATTGTTATGCAGACTACTGCATTAGTGCAGAAATGGTATAAATAATATCAGTGCACTTGTGAAAGAATATTAGACTCACCAGTTGAAGTGTATTGGACGCTTAGCATGATTTGTTTACTTTTGAACTTTGGTAAAAATCGAGCATTTCTGCTACTTTGAGCTCAATTTCAAGGTACTTTTCATTGTAAAACCAGTCAAAATCATCTCAATTTCTGTAATATGTCTTTCATTCTATAAAATGAGACCAGGAAAACTAGAATACAACAATAAATACCATACGAAAATACAATGCAAAGTCGCTGTTTTAATCCAAAAACACGGTCAAAGTTTTTTTTTTTTCTCATTATGCACTGTGCGCTGCAGGATTTTTTTTTATACTGCACACACTGACCACATAGACTCATTCTTTCATATGTAGGCCTACCAGCTTTCTCTCACTAGATTTGAAGGCGCTAGAATTTATGAGTACTAGTATGTCAAAGGACCCTGGCATGTAAGCAGTACTAGTACGGCCAAAACCCTGAAAGGGCTATTAACGGAGTTCCGTTCCTAAGACCACTTCGCAAATTTATTGCTAACAAGGAGCATACTATAATGGTAGTGAGTTTCTGTCGACCATCTTTGATATTGTTTTAATGTCACCTTTGCACCATTTATAACAGTTTTAGTATACAGCCTCTCCTCACTTAGCGACATACTTATTTATTGATGCCTCGAACTTACAACGAGCTGTCTGACCAGTATTTATACCTAAATCATTTACACCTACCATCTTACTTACGTCCGAGCTTGGTTCCAACCAACTGGTCATAACTCAAAATGGATGTAAATCGAACCTTAGAAAATTGCTGATTGAGATATTTCAAAAATTAAATCTTAATCTTGTAAAGCAATCAATCTTTTATGATTGTTGTGGAAATCACTTCAATCCATTCATTATTATTGTGGTTTTCACAAAATAGGTGAATAGCTCACATCCAAGATAACAGCCAAAAGCAAGTGCATACCTGAGCACTTGGGAAATATTTTTTTCTTGAAAAAATCTTTTTTTCTTTTTCATAAGCTACGAGTTTCTCTTAGAGTTTGCCCTTGTGCCAGATTCATTTTCTCTCATAAAAGTGACGAAAAAAGGATAATAAGCCTTATGGTCGGCGGTGTCCACAAAGTCCCTTTCCTATCTGCGCAGCAGTCCTTCATATTATGCTAGATAATATTTGTTCTGGCACATTTTTTATGTTTCTGTGCTATTGATATTTTGCCTTATGTCATAATAGATTAATTGTGATAGGTAAATATGCCTTACTGTTGATATTAGCATAAAATAGAACATTTTGTCAGCTGCTTTCTCTTGCTTGTGTCAGCACTTCTACCCAGAAGGTTCCTGATTGGTTCTCCGACTATGTTAGCTACATAGTATTGTGTGTTACTTTTTACTAAATATTTTACTACTGTATATCAAAAAAAAATAAAAAAAAAATCTGATATTGTTTTAATGTCACCTTAGCACTATTTACAACATTTCTGGTATATTTTTAAATGTTTATATAGTAGTGTACTGTATATTGAAATAAACAGAATAGAAGAAATCAGCTCTTATATATTATTTAGGTATGAATACTGGTCAGAGAGCCCATCATAAGTCTGAGGCGTCAGTAAATGAGTATGTCGCTAAGTGAGGAGAGGCTGTATTTCATTTTTTACTTTTTAAGCTGTTAGTACAGTTTCTCCTCACTAAGTGACATACTCGTTTACCGACGCCTTGGACTTACGACGGGCTCTGACCAGTATTTATACCTAAATAATGTATATTAGAGCTGATTTCCTCTATTCTCTTTATTTCAATATACAGTGGACCCCGGTTAACGATATTTTTTCATTCCAGAAGTATGTTCAGGTGCCAGTACTGACCAAATTTGTTCCCATAAGGAATATTGTGAAGTAGATTAGTCCATTTCAGACCACCCCCAAACATACACCTACAAACGCACTTACATAAATACACTTACATAATTGGTCGCATTGGGAGGTGATCGTTAAGCGGGGGTCCACTGTACAGTACACTACTGTATAAACATTTAAAAAATATACCAGAAATGTTATAAATAGTGCAAAAGTGACATTAACCCTTTCAGGGTTTCGGCCGTACTAGTACTGCTTACGCGCCAGGGTCCTTGACGTACTAGTAGTCATAATTTCTAGCGCCTTCAAATCTAGTGAGAGAAAGCTGGTAGGCCTACATATGAAAGAATGGGTCTATGTGGTCAGTATGCACAGTATAAAAAAAAAAATCCTGCACCACACAGTGCATAATGAGAAAAAAAACTTTGACCGTGTTTATGGATTAAAAGAGCGGCTTTGCACTGTATTTTCATATGGTATTTATTGTTGTATTCCAGTTTTCCTGGTCTCATTTTATAGAATGGAAGACATATTACAGAAATTGAAATGATTTTGACTGGTTTTACAATGAAAAGTACCTTGAAATTGAGCTCAAATTAGCAGAAATGTTCGATTTTTACCAAAGTTCAAGAGTAAACAAATCATGCTAAGCGTCCAATACACGTCAACTGGTGAGTCTAATATTCTTTCACAAGTGCGCCAATATTATTTATACCATTTCTACACTAATGCAGTAGTCTGCCTAGCAGTAAATCTTCTATTTTTTGTGAGAATAAAAATTCAAAATGGAAAGCAAAAGAATGTAAGAGGGGCGTGGGAACGTGACTAATGAACAGAGGAAATGTTATTTTAGTGCCAAGAATGTCTTTCTTGTTTGTTCTGGACCCTATTTGGAAATTGGCATCTTTTGAAATTTGTGTGAAATTGGCAAAATTGCTAAATTCTGACCACTGTATTGGATAGTTGAAATCGGTAAATGGGTGGTTTCTTGCACTCATTCGATAGAAAAAATGGAGTTCTAGCGAAATAGTTATGATTTTTGTCGACTAGTGCATTGAAATTGGCTGAAAATAAGGCTCAAAGTGGGCAAAAATCGCCAATGCGTAAACATCGTTGAGACCGGTAACTTCACGAGAGCATAATTCTGTAAGTTTTCAATAAAATTTCATACTTTTGGGTGTCATTATGATCAGGAAAAGATTCTCTATCTTTTCATAAGTTTTTTTTTTTTTTTTTTTTTTTTTTTTTTTTTTTTTTTTTTTTTTTTTTTTTTTTTGAAATTTGGGAGACCCTGAGAACAAGTCTATGAGAGGGCCTGTGGACCCTGGAAGGGTTAAAACAATATCAAAGATAGTTGACACAAACCCACTACCATTATAGTATGCTCCTCACTTAGCAACGGATTTGTTTAATGACGTGGTCTTAGGAATGGAACTCTTGTCATTAAGTGAGGAGAGGCTGTACTGTATTTTATACTGTAAGGTTTAGGAGAGACACTGTGCATACCTGGAGTATACCTGGAGAGGGTTCCGGGGGTCAACGCCCTAACGGCCCAATCTGTGACCAGGCCTCATGATGGATCAGGGCTGATCAACCAGGCTGTTACTGTTCGCTGCACATTAATGTACGAACCACAGCCCGGCTAATCAGGTATTGACTTTAGGTGCCTATCCAGAGCCTTCTTGAGGACAACCATGGGTCTATTGGTAATCTCCCTTATACATATATGAACCTGTTTTTACATATCTCCCTTCTCTTCCATCCACCCATATTCCTGTCTTCATGTTAGTACAGCCAAATGTCATTTGGACAGTTACTCATTTTCTTTTAACATGATGGAAGCCACTTAAAGTAAAAATCAACTATTGGCCTTTGCTCAGAGTGTACTTATTTGATCTCTCACACTCAAGTCTGTGTTTCTTTCTGGTCATTCTATCTTATGAAAGTCAATATAATCCAGTTTAGAGTGATACTCAGATTGTTAAAGTATGGAGTATTGCTAAGCCGGGATGCTCGCTTAAGTGAATTTCTGCAACAAGTAGTGAATTACAGGTAGAAATGGGGTCACCTCTTGCAAGCGAATTTACATGGTAAAATAGCATGTAGCTAGGAGACACCCTATTCTCGAATATAAGTTGAAATTCTAAGGCTTTTTATTTATTTATTTATTTGAAAGTAGGGTGTTGACTTATTCGTGGGTAATATTCCTAAAAAGTTGAAATCTATAGACTCATCCCTGTACTGAAAACCACTATTCTAAGAATAGAGTAGCACTGTAGTAGGTCTACTTGCTTGTTAAGCAAGTCCTGCCCACAATCACACAACTGTTTCCTCTCATATATCTCTCCAAATCTTGCAGTTTGTTCCTCTCCTCTGCAACTCTTTTAACTGCCCAGCTAGTAGTTTTCTGATATTTTTAATTGTGAAATTGTCAAATATGAGTCCATGTTTTGAGTAAATGTGTTCAAAACCATATTTGCAACCCCCAGAACTAAACATTTGAAAATCTCCATTGTCGAGATAGCAAGTTATTACAGCACTGTACTTGTCACAACAGTAAGTGATATATGATGGAAGATGAAGTTAGCTTCAGCTACTTAATCCCTTTGAAATGTATAGTAATTTGGGACTTTTGCTACTAATACAGTAGGGCCCCACTTTATGGTGTTTTGCTGATACGTTCATTTCAAATTACGAACAAAATTTGCCGTACGGCTACTCTCGCCTGACTTTTTAATACGGTCGCCGCGTCCCACCCGGTTTGTTTACATTCTCTGTGAGCTCCGTGAGCATCGCGTCTCTCCATAATGTCTGGAAACCTTCCAGAATTTCAAGTGTTTTAAAATTATTTCATGTTTTATATACGTATTTATTTTATTAACACATCGGCCGATTCCCACCAAGGCAGGGTGGCCCGAAAATGAAAAAAAATCATCATCATTCACTCCATCACTGTCTTGCCAGAGGGGTGCTTTTCACTACAGTTATAAAATTGCATCAGTAACATCCCTCCTTCAGAGTGCAGACACTGTACTTCCCATCTCCAAGGATTCAAGTCCGGCCTGCCGGTTTCCCTGAATCCCTCCATAAATGTTACTTTGCTGACACTCCAACAGCACGTCTAGTATTAAAACAGTTATGTAAGTGAATTATTGTAAGTGCTTTTGTAAGTGTATTTTTGGGGGTCTGAAACAGAATAATCTAATTTACATTATTCCTCGTGGGACAGATTCGTTCGGTTACGGCACTCAAACAGCCTTCTGGAACGAATTATGGCCGAAACTCTGGGTGCCACTGTATATTTATTGTAATGTTCATCTATTTTTTTGTATATGAATGCATTTGTTTGGCAATAATTGTATATGAGTAGAACTTGTTGGATGTAAGTAGGATCTGCCAGCAGGCCTTGCTGCAGTGCTCATTTGTTTCTAGGTAACTGAAGTGATTTTTTGTCAAAAATTATATATGAATGGGAATGGTTGGCTGAGAGTAGGACCTGCCTAGCATGAACCAGTAATTTGATAGTTCACTGATAGTTTAGTGATAGTTTGACAGTTTAGTTGCATACAATTAGAGTGTATTTGCTTGAGCTTTTCCACCTACTACAATGTTCCTCTGTTCTTATTTAAGAAAGCACTGCATTTAGTGTGATTAACTTCAGAAAAAGATTCTCAGCTATTTCAGAAGAAAAAAGTTTGTTTTCAAGTGGACACTGGGAGCAATATTAATTTTGAGGGGTGTGGCCAGTGAAAGGGATAAAGACAGCATTTCACTTGTACAAGTGAAATGTTATCTTTAATAGTTTCCTAACACTGCATATAGTATACTAGTACAATTAAGTTCCAATTGTACAAGGTTACATAATTTTGTTTTTTAAACCTGCTGTATCCCACTGAGGCAGGGTGACCCAAAAAGAAAAACGAAAATTTCTTTTTTAATTAAAATTTAATAATGTATACAGGAGAAGGGGTTACTAGTCCCTTGCTCCTGGCATATAGTCGCCTCTTACGACACGCATGGCTTATGGAGGAAGAATTCTGTTCCACTTCCCCATGGAGATAAGTGGAAATAAACAAGAACAAGAACTAGTAAGAAAATAAGAAAACCCATAGTGTGTGTGTGTGTGTGTTATATTTACACTGGAACCTCAAATTTCGAATGTATCACTTACAGAACTCTTCGAAAATAGACCACTTTTTTCGAACTGGCTTTGTCCCTCTTATCGAACTCGCCCCTTCTTTCGAACCTCCGAGTACCAGACCTGTCTGCCAGCCTGCTCTGTCCACGTCCCCGCACAGGCGCCGTGAGCCAGTCTGGCTTTGTTGATGCTTGAGTGCACACTAACCTGCATTCTCATTTAAACATTTTACAATTAATTCATTGTGTTTAGTGCTTGTGGGACTGCGAAATAAGCTACCATGGGCCCAAGGAAACTTGCTAGTGGTACCCCTGTGGTAAAGAAAGTGAGAAACATCATAGATGTGAAGAAAGAAATAATACAGAAGTATGAGAGTGCTGTGCGACTTGTCGAGCTCGCCAGGATGTACAGGAAAAATAAGTTGACCATCGCTGCTATCCTGGCAAAAAATGAACAAATCAAGGAAGCTGATGTTGCGAAAGGTGTTGATATGCTAACCAAAAAAGATGACAGACAATCGATCAGGTTGAGAAGTTGTTGCTGGTGTGGATCAAGGATAAAGAGATGGCAGGTGATAGTGTTTCAGAGACGATTGTTTGTGAAAAGGCAAGGAAGTCACATCCCGATTCAAAGATTAAGGAGATTTGCGCCAAGTGTAATGTGCAAATGTTTGTGGAGAAGTACCACCCTGAGCAAGTTAAAGCAAGCCATCTTTGCAACAAGTTCAGTGACAGAACCATGTCCCATTTTAGGGAAATCTTAGAGGTGCCAGAAACAGAGGACTGTGGACAGTTATTTTGTGAGACAGGGGTCCAGTGACTCAAGCTGGTCCTAGTGGCATTAAAAGACAGAAGGGAAGTAACTCCAGAGAGGGCTTTGATACCTAAAGTCCTTATGGAGGGGGATTCCACTTCCAAACACTAACCCCAACTCCCTCTCCTCCTCCTCCTCCTCCTCCCTATCTTCCAGATGCCACTAACCAATCTTCAATAAAGGTAAGTAAAAATGTTATTTTATATGTTTATTTAAATTTATTAATAATTGTACACTATATTTGTTGTGTATGTAAAACTATAATGTAATACTATCTATAAAATGTATTCTTTTGTGAATATTTTTGGGTTTCTGGAACGAATTAATTGTATTTCCACTATTTCTTATGGGAAATATTGCTTCGCCTTTCAAACTTTTTGACCTTAGAACTAGCTCCTGGAACTGATTAAGTTCGAAATTTGAGGTTCCACTGTGTGTGTGTGTGTGTGTGTGTGTGTATTTTTTTTTTTTTAACAAACCGGCTGTATCCCACCAAGGCAGGGTGGCTCAGAAAGAAAAACGAAAGTTTCTCAGCTTAAATTTAGTAATTTATACAGGAGAAGGGGTTACTATCCCCTTGCTCCTGGCATTTTAGTCGCCTCTTACAACACGCATGGCTTACGGAGGAAGAATTCTGTTCCACTTCCCCATGGAGATAAGAGGAAATAAACAAGAATAAGAACTAAAAAGAAAATAGAAGAAAACCCAGAGGTGTGTGTATATATATATGCTTGTACATGTATGTGTAGTGTGATCTAAGTGAAAGTAGAAGTAGCAAGACATACCTGAAATCTTGCATGCTCATGAGACAGAAAAAAGGACACCAGCAATCCTACCATCATGTAAAACAATTACAGGCTTTCTTTTTACACTCACTTGGCAGAACGGTAGTACCTCCCTGGGTGATTGCTGTCAGCCAACCTGCTGTCTATAACTAGAGGTCATGTGAATATAAAATTTGCTTTAGATTTTGGCTCCATTTGCATTTCAATAATTATTTCTCTTTAAATATTGGGAACTTATTGACTAAATTTTGAATATCCTGTAAATTTTATTATAGGAGTTATGTACCAGCCCCTCTTCCCCACCAAAAAAAAAAAAAAAAAAAAAAAAAATTGAGACTTCAGAAAAGTTTCAAACAGTTAAATCTGTCTGTGAGATGCTCCATGGTAATATTGTACAGTATAATCGAATCTCATGAATTAAGACTTTTGTTAAATTTGGGGTTGAGCTGTATGGCACTGACTGTCAGGAAGCAACAGTGTTTGCTGATCATAAGATGACCTGTTCATTAGCTAAGCATCCACTGGCCTGCCCCAGCTATGTGTAAAGGATCATTACTTATTAGTGTATACTAAAATACAGTTTTGAGGCTCTTAAATTCATCTTATTAACAGTATGTACAATACTTTTAAAAAACTCCTTATAAACATTTCTTCTCAGTTTATTTCTATGATTGCAATTACAAATGACCTTATATATTCTCTGTAGAATCCCATAATTGACCCTATTATATGCATTACTTAAACAAATTACAGAATTTAATATTCTCTCAACAAACCGGCTGTATCCACCAAGGAAGGGTGGCCCAAAAAGAAAAACAAAAGTTTCTATCTTTTTAACTTTAGTAATAGAATTTAATATTCTTGTATTTTTCTAGGTAGTAGGTTGGTAGACAGCAACCACCCAGGGAGGTACTACCGTCCTGCCAAGCGAGTGTAAAACGGAAACCTGTAATTGTTTTACACAATGGTAGGATTGCTGGTGTCTTTTTTTCCTGTCTCATACACATGCAAGATTTCAGGTACGTCTTGCTACTTCTACTTACACTTAGGTCACACTACACATACATGTACAAGCATATATATATACACACACCCCTCTGGGTTTTCTTCTATTTTCTTTCTAACTCTTGTTCTTGTTAATATCCTCTTACCTCCATGGGGAAGTGGAATAGAATTTGTCCTCCGTAAGCCATGCATGTTGTAAGGGGCAACTAAAATGCCAGGAGCAAGAGGCTAGTAACCTCTTCTTCTGTATATATTACTAAATGTAAAAGGAGAAACTTTCGTTTTTCCTTTGGGCCACCCCGCCTCGGTGGGATATGGCCGGTGTGTTGAAAGAAGAAAGATTCTTGTATTTTATTGCATTTCTTCATTTGTTGCTTTATTATAAAAAGTGATGTTTTTCCAGGGGCACGAGCGTCTCATAAACAGCATCTACAACTCTATTCCCAAGATAACATCTGAAGGCAAGAGACTACAGATGGTAGTGTGTTCTGCCACACTACATTCCTTTGAAGTGAAGCGTATGGCTGTAAGTCTCAAACATTATTATTTGTAAGCAAGGGTCTTTGCTACCTTGCTTTTACTTTTCTAAATAAGACTAATGTTGAATTAGCATGCTGAGATAATTGCAGTAGTATTTAAATATTTTGTTGCGCTGTATAAATAAGGAAGACTGGAGGAGGCCAAAATTTACCACTCACAGCTTATCTGAGAGAGTTGAACCCATCACACAGTTCTGCAGCACAGACCCTGAAAGGGTTAAATCAAACTAAAGGTCATTGGTCTGCTTTTTCCATCATGCTTTGTGTGAGGCAGGATTTTTTTTTTATACCGTGCACACACGCTGCACACCCAGTCTCTCCTGTCTATGGTAATATTTACTGCTCAGAGCATATTTGAGGGCTCTGTGCCTAAAACGTAGATCTACGTGAATAACAGTCATAAATGTAAATCTACATGGGAGGCAAACCAAACAAAGAAATAAACCTTATTTCTGTGAAGTGGAATACAGTATATTTTGCAGCTAATGTAACTGACATATGTAAAGTACTTTATAGAAAGCCCTTATTGTGCAAGGCATTTCAGGCAGCCTTGAAACTAAATTCTGATTGCTAGTTCTACATGAGAATAAGAATACTTGGTTTTTATTATATTTGAGGTATTCAGTAATTCAATAACAAAATTCTAATGATACATTAAGGATGAAGCTGGGTATCTGAGTTAAAGGTATGATGGAACAAGAATGGGGACAATATTGGATGAAAAACAGGTTTCAGGGTTTTGGGAATTGTTCAGCATAATAAATTCTTGTCGGGATAATAAATTGTTGTCAGGATCACATTCAAGTAAGGAGGTGTTAATAACAAAAAGGCACAATACCGTGACTGGAACAATACACAAATAACCTGCACGTAGGAGAGGGGAGCTTACCACGACATTTGGGTCTGACTTGGACTGAACCATTACATTATAAAATTCTCCAAACTTCAGAACACACGTGACTTAACCTGATTCTTTTTTCTCCTTCTCCCTCTTCCCCTTTCCTTTTTCTTTTTTCTCCTTTGGGTTTTCTTTCTTCTGCCTTGAGCATTTGGTCCATTATTATTTCCCCCCCCTTTCCTCTGGATTTTTGTTCCTACCCTTTGTGGACTCTTAGCTCCCCTGCAGTGCTCCTCTTTCTTAGTCTTCAACTGACATTTCTGCTGCTATTACCTATTACTACTACTATTACTACTACTACTGTTTCTATTACTACTACTACTGTTTCTATTACTACTACTACTATTTCTTTTACTACTACTACACTGGTTTCTATTACTACTACTGTTTCTATTACTACTACTACTGTTTCTATTACTACTACTACTGTTTCTATTACTACTGCTACTGTTACTACTATTACTATTACTGCTATTACTATTATTACTGCTATTACTATTATTACTGCTATTACTATTATTACTGCTACTACTATTACTATTACTACTACTATTACTATACTACTACTATTACTACTATTACTGCTACTACTATTACTACTATTACTGCTACTACTATACTATTACTACTACTGTTAAATATATTTCTACAAATACAAATATTACTACTACTATTACTATTACTACTACTATTACTACTAACTAACTACTATTATACTATATTACTATATACTACACTATTACTACTACTACTACTACTATTACTATTCCCACTACTATTACTATTACTACTACTACTAACTATTACTACTACTACTACTATTACTACTACTACTACTATTACTACTACTACTATTACTACTACTATTACTACTACTATTACTACTACTACTATTACTACTACTATATTACTACTATATTACTACTACTACTACTACTATTACTACTACTACTACTACTACTATTACTACTATTACTATTACTACTACTATTACTATTACTACTACTATTACTACTACTACTACTATTACTACTACTACTATTACTACTACTACTACTACTATTACTACTACTATTACTACTACTATTACTACTATTACTACTACTACTATTACTACTACTAGTGGCCCGGTGGCCTGGTGGCTAAAGCTCCCGCTTCACACACGGAGGGCCCGGGTTCGATTCCCGACGGGTGGAAACATTTCGACACGTTTCCTTACACCTGTTGTCCTGTTCACCTAGCAGCAAATAGGTACCTGGGTGTTAGTCAGCTGGTGTGGGTTGCATCCTGGGGGACAAGATTAAGGACCCCAATGGAAATAAGTTAGACAGTCCTCGATGACGCACTGACTTTCTTGGGTTATCCTGGGTGGCTAACCCTCCGGGGTTAAAAATCCGAACGAAATCTTATCTTATCTTACTATTACTACTACTACTACTGTTACTTCTACTACTGCTATTACTTCTACTATTACTGCTATTATTACTACTACTACTATTACTACTACACTATTACTTCTACTACTACTGTTCTACTACTATTGTTCTACTACTACTATTACTTCTAGTACTACTATTACTTCTATTACTACTACTATTACTTCTATTACTACTATTACTACTAATATTACTACTACTAATATTACTACTACTATTACTACTACTACTGTTATTACTACTACTACTACTACCACCTACTATTACCAGTACTACTACTATTACTACTGCTACTATTAGTACTACTACTACTTTTACTATTACTACTACTACTACTATTACTACTACTACTACTACTATTACTACTACTACTATTACTATTACTATTACTATTACTATATTACTACTACACATACATGTAAAAGCATATATACATACACACACCCCTCTGGGTTCTCTTCTGTTTTCTTACTAGTTCTTGCTCTTGTTTATTTCCTCTTATCTCCATGGGGAAGTGGGACAGAATTCTTCCTCCATAAGCTATGCGTGTTGTAAGAGGCGACTAAAATGCCAGAAGCAAGGGGCTAGTAACCCCTTCTCTTGTATAAATTACTAAATTTAAAAAGAGAAACTTTTGTTTTTCTTTTTGGGCCACCCTGCCTTGGTGGGATACGGCCGGTTTGTTGAAAAAAAAAAAAATTGCTACTACTGTTACTACTACTACTACTGTTACTACTACTACTGTTACTACTACTACTACTACTGTTACTACTACTAATACTGTTACTACTACTACTGTTACTACTACTACTACTACTGTTACTACTACTAATACGTACTACTACTGTTACTACTACTACTACTGTTACTACTATATTAACTGTTATACTATACTTGTTACTGCTATGTTATCTACTAATCTGTTACTACTATACTATGTTACTATTTACTACTCTTTACTTTTTACTACTCTAATACTGTCTCTCTGTTACTACTACTCTACTGTTATATACTATACTTTATCTGCTACTACTTTACTACTACTACTACTGTTACTACTTCTGTTACTACTATACTGTTACTACTACTTTTTTTTGTTACTACTTATGCCACTGACACCACCCCTCTCCTCCTCCCCCTTTCCTCCTCTCCTATTTAACCTTTGACTTTTTCAGGGCCCTCTCTGAAACTGTCATTCTATGTCGCCAAATATTCGAAAAAAAAACTTTTTTTTTTTTTATGAAAATGTTAGGAATATTTTTACTAGTGTTTTAAGCCAAAAAAAAAATTTTTTGCCATCAGTACTTACCGAGTTTATAGAGCCGCCAAAGTTTGCAGAAATTGACGTGCGTTACGGCAACAGCGGCGACTCCCACCCACCCGGTATTCTTTTATTTACTCTAATTCAAAGGTTTCTTGTTTTTTTTTCAATATTTTTCTTTTCCAGGTAACTTATGTGGCCTGTGAAAACCAATGTAAGGTGCATTGTTCAAATATAAAACTCATTATTTACAACACAAAAAACAGAACAAACTTTATCACTATTAGTTTGTGTATACACTTTGTTTACACAAACAAACAATACAAAACAATGTTTATTACTATTGTTCCATAATATTTTAATATGTACAGTCACTAACCACGTTCCTAGAACTGCTGCAGCTTGTGGAACTCTTTGAAACATGGGTATATGCAGAGGGCACTTCACACTCCTCACACATAAAACGAGTGTCTCCTGCGTGTTGTGGGCGTTTTGTGGTATGCATACATACATAACACCTCTTCTGAGCATTTTCTTGGCAGTAGTAGGAGGCAGTTGTATGGGTAGTGATCACCAGGCCTAAAAACGAGATGACGTCTGTGGGCGCTGGTCTATTGCAGGAGTTCCCTCCTTTGTACTTTGCAATTATTTGTCTGATTACTGACAGGAAAAATTAAACCATATTTTGGTGTTTTGTTGGTCTTCAACTTGTATATGTTATAAGCATTTAGCATAGGATATCAACAAGATGGAAAAAATGTTTGATATACCACTTATAACTCTTGCGTACACAGTCTGCAAACCCAAATCTGCATGTCACATTTGTCCACTAAGCGCATATTGAGGTTGTAGTCCATGACAGCTGCAGGCTTTAGAATGGGTTCTTTGGGTTTTTCTCTGTTGTCCCTGCCAAATGGGTACCATTTCGTTTGTGTGAACTGATGTCAAAATGTGACATCACGTTTGTCATGCCACCGAAATGCCATGATGTCATTGGCAGCAAAGGCTTGCACCTCACCTCTGCGAGTGCCAGCGTCGAACCTTGGCATATGTTTGCATTACCACGCACTGTGCCCACACACGTCTGTCAAGTTCACTCGCAAGAAATCATGAGAAAGGGGGCTTGTGTACCAGTTATCAGTAAATAACATATGCCCCTTACCAAGATATGGTTCCATCATTGTTCAAACCACATCCCCAGAGATACCCAATAACTTCATGGTATCTCTAAAAAGTATTACTGCCAGTGTACACAATAATATCTAAAACAAGACCACTTCATGCAATCACACAGTACAAATAGCTTTATACCAAAGGTTTCCTCTTGCTTGGTATATTATTGCTTGAATGAGAGCTTCCTTTGAATAAAATCAAGGACTCATAAATAACAAGCTTCCTGAAGGGTTTAAAAAATACATGCAGCACTTTGTTCAGGTACATAACACATTTCTTATCTTATATAACCTGTCGCTTCTGTCAGGCCTGGTTTTGTCTGAAAAGTGTAAACATACGCAACAGTATCAGGAAACGATTGACACCTATAAATTTCACTAAAACCTGGAGTTGAAATCAGGCGATCTGTTGTCCATATGTGGTGACAGTGTGCTTATACACATGTGGCATAAGCATTATTGTGGCAAAAAACAGGTACATCTCTGCCACGTTGTCTCCTTCCACTTGTGTAGCCGTGATTTTGGTGAGAGAATTTTTATTTGCCATGGTGTTTTCACAGTATGTGTTGGTTTCCCCTGACAATGATGTCCATCAGGGTTCATCGAAGAATAACTCAAAGCAGTCCAGTTCACTGGCATTTTTCCCCAAAAGTGGACAAGAAGGCTTTATTCCCACTTTGTGTTTCATCAAAGTCATGGGGACTGGGAACAAACTCGTCACCGTCCTCCCAAATCCCAGATGCGGTCTGCTGGTGGGGTCTGGATATTGTACCGTGGTTGTGGCTGTGGTTGTGGCTGTGCAGGTTGTGGTGGTGCAGGTTGTGGCAGTGTGGGGTAGGGTGAGGCTGGTTGTTCTGCTGAGTCAGCCGCGTGGCTAGTAGCGTGGCCCGGTGATGGTTTGCCACATGGGCCGTGCCACCCTCACTATCTCCCCCACTGCCTCCTCCCTCACTGTCACCATTCATCCCCATCGTTGCAATATCGTCATCTTCACTATCAGGTCGGGTGTTGGGCCATGGGAATGTGCTCCCAGAGTTTCTCCTTCCCCTTAAAAACAACATATGAACACTACCAGACCCCATGCTACGTTGTACATACTGGCGCTTCACTGGGGAATATTCACTCTCACTGTCACTAGAACTGCTTTCAATGACTTTGAAATCACTATCACTATCACTGCTATCATCAGGGTGTTGTACACGACCAAATAGTTTCCTCTTTCGTCCTGGTACAGGCGAACGTGAACGTGAACAAGCCGGCACAGCACCAGAGGTCGAAGGTTGTGGGTTATCTGGGTTTTCGTCACTATTTTCTTTATCCTGGGCACTTTTTTCGGTAACACTCCTATAAAAACCCCTTTTAAATTCACTGTCACTGACACTTTCATCGCTGTTAGAGCTACACTTGGGAACAAAAGACCCAATCCGCCGAGGAGTGAGGAACTTCTTACCGAGAGGCATGGTGAAAATGGACTGACAACATGGCGTTCCCACAATGCACCGCTAGGTCCCAGATTTTTTTCACAGGGTGCACACCGACCACTGAGACCCATTCTCTCCCGTGTAGGCCTATCAGGCCTTTGGCGCTCGATTTGAAGCCGCTAGAATTTGTGCGTATAAATACGTCAGAAACATTGGCTCATAAGACGTATTTATACGTCGGAAACAGTCAAAGGGTTAAATGAGTGGCTCAGTAGTGCAGACATTGCTCCTTTGTATAAAGGCTTTTGAAAATGTGATAAAATGCCAAATTGTACATATGTAGAACCTAAAAATGTACACATGTTGATCCTAAAACTCATGTATGTATTCCCCCAAATTACTTCAACATATTTCGTGAATTTTTATTTTGTAGGAACGTATGATGCACTTCCCAACCTGGGTGGATCTTAAAGGTGAAGATGCCGTGCCAGAGACTGTCCACCATGTTGTTGTAACAATTGATCCCCGAGCAGATGCTACCTGGCACAACCTACGTCGCCACGTGCAGACTGACGGAGTTCATATGAAGGATGGGGTACGACCAGGAAATAATACACCTGGTAAGCAAAGATGCATGCATGCCTATAGTTAACAGATGAATCTTGTTGAGATTGTTACTGCTTTTTAGGTTCTGTACTGTAGCTGTCCCTGTATAACAACCACTGGAATAAGCCACCATATCTATAGTATATATATTTGTCATGCAGTCAGCAGGTATCTCCAAGATTTTGATTTATCTAATTGGTTTGTAAATGTCGAGTGCTAAGAAAAATCCAGTACACATTCATAAAAAATTTTAATGTATAAAGTGCTGAAACTGCTTATATTTTTAAACATGCTTATCCCTTTCACTGTCCAGACCCATGAAAATAAAATTGCTTGCAGTGTCCACCTTAAAAAAAATATTCTTCTGAAATGGTACAGAATCTTTTTCTGAGGTTAATGACACCAAAAGTATGAAATTTGATGGCAACTTACTGAATTACACAGGTTCAAAGTTAGCAGTCTGGGCACAGTGTACAGTGGACCCCCGCATACCGTTGGCATCACATAACTTTAAATCCGCATACCGATACATTTTATCGCTAAGATTTTGCCTCGCATACCGCTAAAAAACCCGCTCAACGCTATTCGTCTGAGACGCGTCTAATGTGCGGCCTGAGCCAGCCTCACATGTTCCGCCGGTGGCATTGTTTACAAGCCAGCCTCCGCGGTAACATCCAAGCATACAATCGGAACATTTCGTATTATTACAGCGTTTTTGGTGATTTTATCTGCAAAAATAAGTGACCATGGGCCCAAGAAAGCTTCTAGTGCCAACCCTGTGGTAAAAAGGGTGAGAAATATTACGAAATACTGTGGTAACCATGGGCAACTGCTGATGCTGCTGTAGCACTGTCAGCTGCCGCGCTGCTTTTAGCAAACCCTCAGCTGCCGCTGCTGCTGTAGCACCGTCAGCTGCGCTGCTGTAGTACCGTCCTGCTCGCTGTAGCACCGTCTGCTGCTGCTGTGCACTGTCAGCTGCTGCTGCTGCTGTAGGGAAATGTCAGCTTGCTGCTGTGCTGCTGCTGTAGCAAATGTCAGCTGCTGCTGCTGCTGCTGTAAACACTGTCAGCAGCTGCTGCTGCTGCTGCTGTAGCACTGTCAGCTGCCCGCTGCTGCTGCTGTAGCACTGTCAGCTGCTGCTGCTGCACTGTCAGCTGCGCTGCTGCTGCTGCTGTAGTACCGTCAGCTGCTGCTGCTGCTGTAGTACCGTCAGCTGCTGCTGCTGCGTAGTACCGTCTGCTGCTGCTTGTAGCACTGTCAGCTGCTGCTGTAGCACTGTCAGCTGCTGCTGTAGCACTGTCAGCTGCTGCTGCTGTAGCACCGTTGTTGGTGTGGCTTATTGAGAATACCAAGAAACAATTAACCCCAGAGGGTTAGCCACCCAGGATAACCCAAAAAAGTCATTGTCATCGAAGACTGTCTAACTTATTTCCTTTTGGGGGCCTTAATCTTGTCTCCCAGGATGCAACCCACACCCGTCGACTAACACCCAGGTGAACAGGAAAAATGCCTGGAACTAGTGCTCATATTGGTGAATTTAAAGCCCGCAAAGGGTTTGGTTTTGAGAGATTTAAGAATCGTAGTGGCATACACAGTGTGATAAGGCCTGTTCTGGAAGGAAATGCCAAATAGGACCTACAGCACTCAGGAGGAAAAGGCACTCCCAGGACACAGTGTCTCATCAGTCATTGCTGCATCTTCAATAAAGGTAAGTGTCATTTATTCTTCATTTAGTAGAGTAGTACATGCACAATATATATTGTGCATGTACTACTCTACTATTGTGCGTGTATCCTTCTCTTTGTGTGTAGGAAAATGCATATTTCACGTGGTAAAAAAAAAATTTTTCATACTTTTGGGTGTCTTGCACGGATTAATTTGATTTCCATTATTTATTATGGGGAAAATTCATTCACATAACGATAATTTCGCATAACAATGAGCTCTCAGGAACGGATTAATATCGTTATGCGGGAGTCCACTGTATATATCAGCACATTTCCCCATTCTGAGTCCTTTTAACCCTTTGACTGTCGCAGGCCCCTTTCTGAAACTGTCATTCTATGTCGCAAAAGTTTTGGAAAAAAAAAATTATTTTTTCTTATGAAATGATAGAGAATCTTTTCCAGATGGTAATGACACCAAAAGTACGAAATTTGGTCGAAAACTCACGGAATTACGCTCCCGCGAAGTTAGTGGTCTCGGCGACATACACGCATCGGCAATTTCGCCGACTTTGAGCCCTGTTTTTGGCCAGTTCCGTTGTTCTAATTGACCAAACTCATAGCTATTTCTTTAGAACTCCATTTTTTTCTGTCAGTTGAGTACAAGAAACTGCCCATTTGCTGTTACAAAAAATGTAATTCTAAAAGTGAATACTAGAAAGGACTGCCCTTCTAGCATCCAGTCTGTTACTGGGTTTTCGTAACAATTAGTCAGTATCCTTGTCAATTATTCAAATATCTTAAATGGAGATATCGAGGGTTGAAGGTAGACACACTTGTTGGATGGTAACGATATATTGTCAGACTGTGATGATGGGAAATGGTGCCCAGCCTCTGCCTGTCCTAGCCTGGATGTCTACGCCGACTGAGGGGGAGGCAGAGGTACGAGCCTACACATGCGCATCCCGTGACGTCACACAAAGTCACAGGCCTACAAGGGATCTCCTATCTAAAGCACATGGATGATACTAATATGCTATGCTATATAACACAGGGATCAGCAACTATGCTGACAGCTCGGTCATGTTACGTATGTCGTCTCGACATACACTACTATCTATAGGCTGAACAGGCAGGCGGTTTTGGGCTGATTCTATACAATAACAAATTCATATATAACTTAGAACTAATGGATGGTATCATAATGGATGTTACGACATGAGTTTTACGTAATGGGTGTTAACGTAATGAGTTTTAACGTAATGCATTACAAACTATAAGAGCAAATCATTGTACAATATGGATGGAATTGATCGATCGATCTGTATTCAAGCACTCTACGGATTCTGAGGAAGAATAAATATATACAGGAGGGCCCCACTTATACGGCGGGTTAGGTTCCAGGCTACCGCCGTGAAGCGGAAACCGCCGTAAAGTGGAACACCCTTTTTTTCCACTTACAAATGCATACAAACACTAGATAACAAGTTTACACTAACATATATTATGTTAGCAATAGAACCAGGCATCAAAAAACAATAAAAAAGTACAATACACACACAGTGCACTCATTACTTACCTTAAAATATTTATAGTCTTAATCTAGGGTGAGACAAGTAGTATTTATTGTAAGAAATCAAGTGTGGTATGTATGGTGTCAGCCAGGCTACCATACCAGGCCACCCCACCCACACATACTATTCTATGATATTTAAGCATCCCAGAGCGATAAAATGTATATACAGTTCACTCATTACTTACCGTAAAATATAGGGTGAGATGAGTAGTATTTATTGTAAAATATCAAGTGTGGTATGTATGGTAGTCAGCCAGGCTACCATACCAGAGAGAAAGAATGAGTGCATGAGAGAGGACAGGCGCAGAGTTATGTAAACAAACCAGGCGAAGGTAAGTTTTGTAAACAGTGTACACGTCTGGTTTGTGTACAAGTTACATTGTGTACAGGTTGTCTCTACATTGATACGGTAGAATAAATAAAGAAGAACACTCCCATTCTCATGTAACATCATTTTGAGAAGAAATGATGCTCTGAGTGAAGGCAATGGAAGTAAGTCACTGACTTTTTTGGGTTATCCTAGGTTCTCTACACATATGTTATGTATTTATGTTATGTATCGTGTTTATTATATAATTTTGAAAAAAAATATCACGGATGGATTAATGAAAATGTGTATATTAACGTAATATACAACATTTAATGATACACCGAGCTCAGACAGCGTAAACAAACTGAACAGGTTGTGGACGATCACTCGGTCAGGCAAAATAGACGGTATTAATACGTGTCCAGTTTTAGTTCATTCATGTACATTTGTAAGAGTTTGTGAAACTTTTACCTTATAATATTTTTATTATTATTATAATAATTAAATCACGAAACAAATACTCTTACACTGTGTACAAGTTAGTACAGAATTATAGCTATAAAGTGAAGGCATACGAAAGGAATATTTTTCTACAGTTATCCCTAGTAACAGGTGATGGGTCAGAGAAAACGTAATTCTTCCGACACTTCTACAAACCGTTTGGTAAACATCTCGTATATATTTGTATAAATTTTTATACTGTGGGTGCATGTATCATGTTTGTGTGTTACATAATGTGTTTCTTATATAATTTTAAAAAAAATATCATAGATAGATTAAGGGAAATGTCTATATTAACGTAATATGCGACATTAATGCGCCCAAGAGATTATTATTACTATTATTATTACTATTATTATTATTATTATTATTATTATTATTATTATTATTATTATTATTGCATCAAGAGTAGAGAGACTCTTAGTGATTTTAATGTGTACCTACATGCCAGCACAGTGTGTAAGTTTATTTAGGTACAGGTGTACACAAGTTTAATTATCAAGTACAATACATATAAAATATAAAATAACTTTAAAACACTTGAAATTTTGGAAAGTTTCCAGACATAATAAGGAGATGTGCTCAGGGAGAATGTAAACAAACTCAGTGGGCCGCTGTGACCGTATTAGAAAGACAGGTGGGGGGAGCCGTATAGCGAGTTTTGGTCATAATTTGAAATGTCCATATTATCGGAATGCCTTAAAGCAAAACGCCGTAAAGCGGGGCCCTCCTGTATATACAAGGTGAAATTAACAGCAAAAGCATCTGGTGCACTCAGACTATTACTGTCAAATTCTCAGAATACGGAGGGAACGTGAACACGAAAATTTCTGACAACTGATCAGCTAATGACAAAACACACAGTTAATAATTTCATTCATCTCGGACATCTAATTATACAGGCTGTTTACACTTAAACCCAATTCTGCGAGGGTAAGGTTTACGTATGCAGAATGGTTATCA